TATACAGACAAAATATAGATGTAGCCCTTTTTGTCCTGAAATTGCAACTAAAATAAAATTCTTAGATGATGAGCCGCTGTCTGTCTGTCTGTCTGTCTCTCTGTCTCTCTGTCGGTGAACCGTATATATCAATTTAATTTGTGTATTGCGTATTAAACTTTAGTATATAAACGCAGCTAGGTTTTAGACCCTTTAGTTCAATGGTTTTGAATGAAAAATTGAATACTAAGTCTTCTTGATAAACAGAGACTAAATGAAAACAATTCATTTTCATTCATTCCTTGACGGAGTTGGAACTAGTTAATATCAGTAATTTATAGTCAAGTTAATAGATTTAGATTCCTAATGGACAGATTTATTTTAATGCAGTGATAATGACATTCTGCACATTATTTAAATAGCCAATGATATGTTGATTTAAGTGAAAAGAGTTTGATTTTCTTTAATTAAAATATCGAGTGCGAATTTTATAAATAAAAAAATAGACGTTAAAAAAGTTTTTCATTTATAGAATCCGACGTAACTTGATTTTAAATTAATTAAAAATTAATGTAGTTATTGTTAAAAAAATTATAAAAAAAAAAAAAAACCATTCATGTTTCTCCAATGGTATGCAATTATATATTTGCTATTATTCCTCATGTTGATCAATTAATTGGTGTTACAATGCACAGCCATTGAGAGCACATTAGTTTCATGGTCAATCGGGTGGAGCATATATGGCTCCATCCTGAGATTCAACAGTCAGACACTGAGAAATGAGAATAACCACGTACGGTACTTGCTAGGAACTGGTGTGCAGGTTACAGAAGAACCTAACTACTGCCATACCTGCAGCCAGTAATACTGATCAATAAATTCAAGGAGACTTGCGGCTCCAGATGGCCATTAATTCCTCCACTTAGTCCCTCGCATCACATGACTTTGAACTCTTGCCGCTTCCTCCAGAACCAGAATTGTAGTCTGCAATTCAAGTTCAACTATATATATATATATTAAATTAAAAGTAAAACCACGGGTGTGTTTTAGATTAATTGTGTTTTGGATCAAAATCATTGTATGGATAAAAACAATAAATTAAATCAAATGAATTTGCAAGAACAATAACCCTTTTTTTTTAAATGCATTAAGAAAAATCATCATGCCATATTAGTCCGCTAATAAAGCAAAAGATAAATAAGTGAGAGCAGTGGAATGAAAAATTTATTCTAGTAGTGTACTAAATTAATTATTCTTTTGAATTGGGATTTTGATAGTTGAATTTAAATTTTCGTATTTAAATTTAATTAATTGAGAATTCAAACCGTGAACAAACATTAAAAAAAAAAAAAAAAACTCCATTCTCCAAAATTTTTTCATGTTAAAAAAAATAATTATCTTTTTTTTTTTCCTCATTTGAAAAGATTATGAAAATTAAGCTCGTAAATTATTATTATTAAAAAAGAAAAAAAAAATTAAGCAATCAAAATCGAAACAGGAAAGGTGAAATTCCGGTGTAGTTCACGACGGAACGGATCGATCCAATCCAAGTCCGTCCGTCTGTCCGTCGGAAGATGTTGAAATTCTTGAAAGGAGTGGTGAGTGGATCTGTCGGCGGCATCAAAGATCTACCTTATAATATCGGCGATCCTTACCCTTCCGCTTGGGGGTCTTGGTCTCACTTCCGCGGCACATCCAAGGTAATCAGTCGTATATAACATTGGTTTCTTTTTTGAAATTGAAATTGTTTTGCACATTTTGAAGAAATCATCTGGTTTGGTTTGATGTTTAGGAAGATGGATCTCCAGTGTCAATATTTTGTCTTTCCAGTAGTAATCCGCAGGATGGGTACTTAGCTGCTGGCCGGAATGGGGTGAAGCGTCTTCGTACTGTAAGCCCTCCTACTAAACCTGTGTGTTCTTGTAGTTTGTTTTTTTTTCATTTTTTTTTAACATAAGGGTTAGCTACTTGACCCAAACTCTTGTGGGTATTTATTTGTACCTGTAGTTGTAGTTGTAGTTGTAGTTGTAGTTTCAAATTGAAATGCAAATTATATTATTATTATGTTATTTGTTTATGTCCAATAATTTAATACTAACACTGTCACACTCCCACTGAATTGCAGGTCAGGCACCCAAATATTTTGTCGTTTCTTCATGCCACTGAGGTTGAAACTTTTGATGCTTCTACTACAAAACTTACCATCTATATGGTCACGGAGCCTGTTATGCCTCTCTCACAAAAGATCCAGGAACTAGGTTTACAAGCTACACAAAGGTATTATAAACCAATTTATTAACTATGTTGTTGCTTCTTCCCTTTATTTCCAACTATTTGGGTATATTTCTTTTTCTTTTTTTTTTTTATTGAGAATATTATGTACTACAGCTAGATCTTTTCTGTTTTTCTGGTCGTTGGAAACAGTATTACTCATTTAATTCTTTTAACCTTTTGCTGTTTCTTTGTTAGCAGGGATGAGTATTATGCATGGGGACTGCACCAGATAGCCAAAGCTGTGAGCTTTCTAAATAATGACTGCAAGCTTGTAAGTATTTTCCTCTGGACTTACAAGTTGGATTATGATTAATGAATTCTAATATAATGTTCTTGTTTCACATCAATTCTCTGTCTCTGAAATTCATCTGATATGATTAATCAGACAAATTCATCTTAGAAATAGATTTCTGTAATATATGCCTACACATCTAGCATTGTGAGATTCTACCATGCACACACACACACACACACATACACATATATGCATCAATTTTAAAAAGATTTGTTAAGCTAAGCCTCAATGCTACTGACTCTTGGTTTGGAATTCTTGTTGTATTTTAAAAGGTATTTGTCCTTGGAGGATCTTTGATTTATACTCAAACTAATCTTTCAATATCACTTTTTTCACTTTATTTGAGTTCTGCAGGTTCATGGTAATATTTGCCTGTCAAGTGTTGTCATCACACAAACCTTAGACTGGAAGCTGCATGCTTTTGATGTTCTCTCTGAGTTTGATGGGAATAATGAAGCTGCCACAGGACCAATGCTGGTAATACTTATGTATGGATATGAGGCATTTGTTACGGATATTTTTTATTTCCAATATGACCTGTATTATTGTAATTTTATTAACTCAACTGGAGTATTCAAGTGGAAATTATGTCCTTAAAAAAGAAAACTTCTTATGAATTTAGTGTCAGATAAAATCATGAAAATAAACAGTTAAGTAATCTGTCATCACAAATATGGTATACTTTCTTCCTGCCTGCTTGCCAAGTTATAAAATTTTTCAGTCAATAGTATTTTAATTGTTAAATTCAAATTATAGTAACGTATCTTGTTTTGTGGTATCTAATCTTCATGGATGAAATTATCTGTTTGATTATTCTAACAACATTTTGCACATACTTCATTTTTTAATTTTTATGCTTGGCTGTAATCTAAAATATAGTACTGCATATTAGGGTTTTTTTTTTCCTCTTCTTCTTCCTTTGTGGACGTTTTTTTTTACCAAAGACTTATTTTATTATATTTTTATTAGCAATATGAATGGCTTGTTGGATCACAATACAAGCCTATGGAGTTAGTAAAGTCAGACTGGGCTACAATCAGAAAATCTCCACCATGGGCCATTGATTCTTGGGGTTTGGGTTAGTATTTATAATTTCTTTTGCCAATATGGTGCATTTTGTAAAATTAACTATGTTAATAAGTGATTGTTTAACATGTTTACTCTCTCTAGAGGTAACTTGAATATGTTATTTTGATTGATAGGCTGTCTTATCCATGAACTCTTCTCTGGTGTGAAGTTGGGCAAAACTGAGGAGCTACGGAGCACTATTTCCATTCCAAAGGTTTGCAATTCTTATCATGGATTGTTATACTTACCATTTACATTTTTCTTGAAATCAAATGAAAATTGTTAGTGCTTGCATGCCTAAGTGCTTATGGTGCTTTTAGAATGCTTTCATTTTGTCTTTTCAATGATTCAATTTCATATTTATCTGCTACCTTCTTGTCTCACAGTCTCTGCTTCCAGATTATCAGCGGCTCTTGAGTTCCATGCCTTCTCGTAGGTTGAACACATCAAAGCTTATAGAAAATAGTGGTCTGTACTCCTTGCTTTGGGTTTCCACTAGTTAATGCCTTTTGATGAATCTAAGAGTCCCTGGAATTCATATAATATGAACATGTGTTTTATCTTATTTGTAGCCCACCATGCAGATTACTTGTTAACCTCTCTGCATTGATATGGTTGAGATTTGCTGTCATAAACAGAGATGAGTGGCTTTAGTGAAAGTAAAATTTGTTGGAAGCTTTCTAATAATCAACTGAAATGCTCATGCTGCCTTATAATCATCTCTCTGTTAGTTTTCATTTTCCATTAGAAGGTTGCATCTAAACTTGTTTAATTTGATGCGTTTGTTTAGTTTATTTCATTACTGTGAACTCAATTTTTATTTTTCTTGTTTGCAATTTATATAAACAAATTTCTTTTCTTTTGATTTTGCACTAATGTTGTATCCCTTTCCTTCCTCTCTCTTACTCATTTCCCTCTTGTGCTGCTACTAAATTTCATCAACTCTTTTATTGTCAGAATATTTCCAAAATAAGTTAGTAGACACAATACATTTTATGGAAATTCTTAGTTTGAAAGACAGTTTAGAGAAGGGTCCCTTCTTCCGCAAGCTTCCAAATCTCGCAGAGCAACTGCCTCGCCAAATTGTGCTTAAAAAGGTACAACTTTTGTAAATCTAATGTGGCACATGGCTAATTATCATCTATGATTAATGCCAAGTTATATCCTCTGCTCCTACAGTTACTTCCTTTATTAGCTTCTGCACTTGAATTTGGTTCAGCTGGTGCACCTGCTTTATCTGCATTGTTGAAAATGGGTTCCTGGCTTTCAACTGAAGAATTTAATTTCAAGGTCATACTTCCTTAATACTTAGTCTCTTTCTAAACACGTAGATACATTCTATGGTCCTTTTGCTTGACTAGATAAGTTCATTGCTTATAATGGCAGGTGCTACCAACAATTGTGAAACTCTTTGCCTTTAATGACCAACACATTCGAATTGAACTCCTGCGGCACATTGATCAATATGGAGAGTCTCTATCAGCACAAATTGTTGACGAGCAAGTAAGTAGGCTAGAATAAAATGATTTTTATATTTCCATATGATTCAAGCAAATTCTATTTAGTTTGGTTAACTTTCCTAATATATTGTAAATTTACTGTTATTTGAAATGCTTATGATTAGGTTTATCCCCATGTAGCAAATGGATTTTCAGACGCACACGCCAATCTCCGTGAATTGACTCTTAAGTCAATGCTTGTCTTGGCTCCTAAGGTATGCAGCAGGACTTTAGATTGATAGTGTTCATAGTGCAGTGAAGGGAATTCCATGGTGTAAAGCGGTATAATAAATGTCTCATGGTTTCTAGTTTTCAAAACTATGGTGCCTTCCTGGTTAATTTCTTCTCATCTTTTGGTCTCTCAATGCACCATTCAACCATGTGTTCCTGCTTGCATTGTTCAAGACTTTTGAACTACATTCATTTCTTATACTTTAAACATGACTCCTTTCTGATTTTTGCTTTGTTTGCTTGTCTCTGCAGCTATCTCAACGCACTATTTCCGGATCTTTGTTGAAATATCTTTCCAAGTTCCAGGTATAGCCTCATATTTCTCAAGTACAATTTTAGGGTCCTTTTAATTTTTCTTTTAATCCATTTTTATGGGCTTGAGGATTACTATTAAGCCCCTTTATGAATTATTAAGTTTTTAATCCTTGATATTCCGTTTACCGTGCTTCTGTTTTGCAGGTTGATGAAGAGCCTGCAATTAGAACAAATACCACCATATTACTTGGGAACATTGCGAGCTGCCTAAATGAAGGGGTTAGTATCTGGTGGTAGCAAATCCGTATGATTCTTTTAGCATTTGATTTACATGATATTGAATTTGAGATATTGAATTATGGCAGAATGATCTCTTTCTGAGTGATTGGTGTTGTATTTTGTATGAAAGTTTAATTGGTTTTATCCTCTTTGAAATTGTGATCTGTTGGGTTAACTCTACATTGCAGACTAGGAAGAGAGTTTTGATTAATGCTTTTACAGTCCGTGCATTGCGTGATACTTTTTCTCCTGCCCGAGGAGCAGGTATACAGATCATCTATGGTATTTGTAGCTGTTCTCCTATATTCTTGCTTAAAGAAAGGTTTTTGTTAGATTTTCTAGTTTTTTGTTTTATTCTATTATTTTTGGCATTGTCCAAAATTAATCATACTTATTGGCTTTTAAGGTATCATAAGACTAATACTAAATCCTATGATGGCAGGAATCATGGCTTTGTGTGCCACCAGCTCTTATTATGACATTACTGAGATTGCAACTCGGATTCTTCCAAATGTTGTTGTACTTACCATTGATCCTGACAGGTTGAATGATAATTGCACAATTTATTTGTTTCCCTAAATGGTTTTCTTACAATACTTGAGCAAAAATGCTGTTATCTTTGTCCTTTAAAACAGTGATGTAAGGTCAAAGGCATTTCAAGCAGTTGACCAATTTCTGCAAATAGTGAAGCAGTACCAGGAAAAGGTGTGTTTTTCATTTAGGCAAATTTGAAATGGAGGGCTTTGTGCATATCAAGCACAGAAGATTGAATGAGTGATACCTCATATTCATGTTTGACCTTTCTTCATGATCACAATGCTCTTTTATGATTATTTGCTGCATATATAATATATCTATAGACTGTAGTTGAGAAATTTTAAATTTTAATTATAGGATAGTTATTCATGGCAAAAAATCTTTATGCAATTGAAAATATCTAAATGTCTATGAGAATATTTTCTAGAAATTTATGCTACGTATTGTGTTTTGTCATGTGTGAAGACTAATGCTGAAGCCGCAAGCATAGGTATCTCATCAATACCAGGAAATGCTAGTTTACTTGGGTGAGTTCATTTACTCCTCTTTTTTTTTTAAATGTCAGAAGGATTATAAATTGCTCATCCAATCAGACTGAGTTCTGTATGGGACCAAGGACTATTAGAAGTTTCTAATGACTAGTTTAATTAGTTTGAATGAATCAATGATAAATGTAAGATAAATAAACGAAGCATGGGCACAGCTATTCATTGGAATGTCTGGGTTTTGTTCTCCATTTTGCTGTTTTGGACGTTGACCATTAGGGTTTTCACCATGCAGATGGGCTGTTAGCTCCTCAAACCCACTACCTCTTGCTAGTTCTGGCACACATCCAACTTCTGCAACCTCCAATGCCAGCTCAGGTATATATATACGGTTAACAAAAATTATCTTTGTTTTCTGTGGTTGGGATAATTAGGTCAGTCAATCAATGATGGTGGTTTTCTCTGACAATCCTAGTGATGGATACTTCAAGTACAACACAACTCTCTGTAACTTCCAGCACAGAATTGACTGATCAACCTGTACCTGTATCGCCTACTTCAACAGATGGCTGGGGAGAAATTGAAAATGGCTTTGATGAACATGACAGTGACAAAGATGGATGGGATCTTGAACTCCTTGAAGAACAAAAGTCTTCCCCAGCCCTTGCAAACATTCAGGCGGCTCAGAGGCTGCCATTGTCACAACCAATTTCACAGCCAAGACTACAATGTAGTGTTCTCATGGACATCCATTCTCATATTCGTTGGTCATCTAATGAGCTATTGAGACATTTGAAAACTGATCAAGTTACCCTTTATTTATTTATTCTTTTGTAGCCACAAGTTTGAGACCTGAAACTACAGGAAAGGTGACGAAAGATGAAGTTGATAACGTGTTGGAATCTATAGCTGCTCCAGAACCTGCTACTAGTGCCAGGCCTTTAGCCTCTGGAAGAGGCAGAGGACGGAAACAGGCTGCTCCAAAATTGGGCGCACAGAGGATAAACAGGACATCCTCAAGTGGGATGTAAATCATGTAAGAAGTTGAAATGAAAATGGAAAAAGCTTAGAAGGAAAGACCAAGTTATGCACATTTTCTTACTTGGATGACTGGTCTACCATCTGAATGCAATGAATTCATGACACCGTCAGCTGATTAGCTGTTGTCAATGGGCTGACATATTGTTTTGATCTGGTAACATCATTCTTTTCCTGGGAAGATCATTTCTCATGCGTAGATTTATTATTATTATTATTATTATTATTTATTTTTGTTTGCAGAGTTGAGAGCTCGTAAAAGTTTATCTAAGAGTTTGAGAACTTGGGTGGAACAGTACAATATTCAGCGCTTATCAGATTAAATTCGTTGTAACAGTGAAATAATATATGGTTGCAGTGTATGGTTTAAATCATTGCACGGTGGAGATTGAATTTGCTCCACCATGCACATCTTGGCATTGTACCCTGCATGCAATTTGAGAGATGCCATTTTTCTAAGCACCAATGCATACAATGCAGATGCGTGCCTGCCTTTTTGCTATTGTTTATGGCCTGTCTTCATTATTATAATCAACTAAATTGTCACGTTATCTGAATTTTAATAGATTAGGTCTATTTATTCTGATAAGATAAGGCTAAAGAGTTAAATGAAGGAAAGCATATTCTTAATGAACAAATCATCACAAGTAGAGACATTATTTCCAGTTCCAACAATGTTAATTCAACTTCACTTGAGTCTCTCCCTTCGTAGCCTCTCCAATTCCTTCACCATTTGCCAGTGTTCCATTGACAGATGGGTTTCACCAAAACTTGAACACATTAGACGCCCCATTGTCAACCATCTGCAAAATCATATCATAATTTTGTATGTTCAACAAATCTGCAATAAGGAAACAAAAATTTGCTAATTTCAAATGACAAAATCTAGTTCTAACCGGCTAAAATCTCCACTGCCTAAGCTTCGGTCGGCTTGCCTTGCAGCAACCAAATCATCTTCTACAACCTACAAGCACAAATCCATCACTATTTGATGTAGATAATGGGATATACTGGAAAGGAATAGGTGAACAAAGTGGCATTTCCATACGGGATGTAACTTCTCTAATCTTTCAGATAGATAGATCTTAAAGGTTTCTATAAGAAAGGAAGCATGTTAAAAGAAAAATGAAAATTGAATCTGTACCTTCTGCATATCTGATTCAATTGAATGAGGTAATGTTCTAACAGTAGCCAAGTACCATCTCCAAGCTTCCTGAGTTGTTGCATCCACTTTTTCATAGGAATCCGCAGAAGAAGGTTGGAAAGGTATAACTACATCAGCAGGTATAATGTTTGATTTCCCATCAGAGAAAATAAGTAACTGGATGTCAGTAGTCATATCCATTTTGTAATACTGAAAATCATACTCAACCTGAAACAATGCCAGTCCGCTTATCAATCAACATCATCCAAAATTAAATAATAAAGTTGAATGCTTGCACATTTACTGCACAAAAATATTTCTACATCATCTGATGGCAATCACCTTTTGAAAGTCCATTAGACTTTTCAGCAACCTTGCATTCTCAACACCAACAGCATTGAGTAATCCAGCTTTAAGCTGGGTTTCATCAATAATTAAATGTGAACCTTCAGGCATCTGCAGAACTCCCGGTGTCAATCTGCAAAACTTAATCATACAAAGTTGTCACAAAACAAAGGAGAAATAGATGGTTGTAAATTGTATAATTACTGAACGCAGGAAATCCCTCATTAGGAGAATATAAATGGCGAGACCTGTTAATTTGATAATCCTTTTTTGGAGCAAGAGAGGCAGCATTAAGATACTCCAGTGTAATAGGTAAGCAACGTGAGAATGGAAGGAGACTTGCAACAAAATTGCTGAGTCGAGTCCCAAACACAGACACACTTTCTTTGCTTAAACCAGTGAGATTTAATGAAAGCTTCCCCACAACAACATTGTCTACTCTACTATGCACCTGTTCAATCAAAACTTCTTGTTTTTCAACATCGAAATGCTAGAAACATAGGAAAGGGAAAGTTCAACATTAACTGTCACCATATATAATATGTATGACTTAATTAATGACAATGGAGAAAGCAATTTACCCTGGATAGAAGATGCAACAACACAAAGTGAGCTGCTATACCATCATTACCAAGAACAGCTGTAAGATGCCTCAACAGAGATCCCCTTACCTCTTTCACCATATGGGGCTTTGGCTGAAAGAACCAAAATACACAAACGCTGAGGGCAAGACAAGTATAAGAGAAGATCGCAGACCATTCAAACTATAACTATTTAGAAGGAACCTCAGTCAATCATTCCTAAGGGAAATAAGCTGAGTATGCAAATCACCTCTGGTATTGGAGAACTTTGCAGAAAGTCATGAACTGCAAGCTTCCTGTGGACAAGACAATGGAGCCGTGGAACCTGCAGTGGAAAAGAATAGTTAAAATAAATGAAAGAATGTTTTTAAATAGACCTCTTAAGAAAATAAACAACTTAATTACAACAAAACCACGGATTCAAGATGCACATAATAAACTCTCCAGATGAACAATAAGAGCTACAATTGCACCAGACTACTGAATCTTGATAAAATAATACTTCAAAGTAGTAAATATGGCTATAGATGGTTGAAAGTGAGGATGCTGGCAAATACAGTAAAAGAGGAAATCATGCTCATAATGCAGCCTGAACAAGTTAGCCAGCTGAAATAAACATGGTACCTTGTTAGGAGGCAAATGGATCAATGCATCATCAGAAAAGCTGTTTGAAATCTCATCATAATCACTCATCTCAGCTTCAGGCTCAGAATCAAAAGTGAGGACCCCAATAAACTCAAAAATGTCATTCAGTTTCAACTCTGACTCTGGGGAATCATATATCTGGATAACCAAATCAGAAATTTTATGATTTTTGTTAGGTAAGAAAGAACTAGCTTCTCTTAGTTATATTTTAAAATGGTAAACTATATGTGAATTAGAATATACCTTTACTAGACAAGGCAGAGATTCATTGTCAACATCTTGGTAAGTATTCATAGAGGAAAAATAGCCCTCAGTCATTGAAGCCCTAAATCCTGAAGAAGGGGAACAATTTCCATCTTCCCTCTGTCAAAGGGAATGAAAAGTACAATAATAAAGTAAAAGTAGCATGTATCAGGTATTCAGTTTTAACATATGAAAAGAGTGAAACCTTAGAAGTAAATGTTATAATTCTATTCTAAACGTATAAATATAATAACCAAAATTATGCAATCCAACAAAAAAAAAAAAAAAAGCAAATGCAAAAGCAGAGTATAATAGAAGATATAGCTCCTTACCATCTTCTTGGCCAATGGAGATGTTTTTAACTCATCATCAGTTATCTGTAGTCATGGCAGACAAGACATCAAAATCATCTTAAATGAGTAGTTCTAGAAAACGAATGGAAAGCCCAAAGAGGAGAGAACTATACAATAGTCTTTAATGAAAAATAATATATTGACAATGTTCCTAACACGATTGTTGCATGCAACTAAATTTGCCTGCTTCATGAGAATAAAATACACAAACAAGATAATTCAACACTAGTATAGTTAAGGCTGTATAAAATGCACATGATTGGCCCCAATATTAGGACAAGGAAATCAACAAAACTGAATATAAATTTCTCAAAGAACAAAAGGTCCAACCATATCCATGTCTTGAATATCTTGATCATCAATTCTCTGGCGCTTCTCCCGGCTCTGAGATGATGAACCCACGTTTCTATTTAGCATCGGTTGATATGAAGGTTGAGTCCAAGAATTCTGTCCTGGAACCTGAAGACAAAAAGACAGACATAAATTTATGTTTTGAATCATGATTAAGAAGATGGTAACCAGTTATATCCCATTGACCAATTAAAGAAAGACATGATTAACTAAAATAAAATGGGGAGGAATGCAAGAACTGAAGGACAATGCAAGTATAAAAACTCACCGGAACACAGTAGAGCAGGCGACGTTCCCAAATGCACGTATCAGAGGAAGGAGAAGGGGAAGAGCACATGGGATATTGAGAGACATCCGCAAACTTATTGGTCCTCCATGACGAACCATGCTTTTTGAAATATGGAAAACAACAGCAAATCAGTTGTAGAATATATAAAAAAACAAAATAGTGGTAATTGGCAAAGTGGTGCAGTGGGTATCAGAAGGCAAAAGAAGAGAGACCTTATAAGCACCGACGTATAATTCATTCCCCAACATATCCTGGATCATTCCCCGATACCGAACTAGAGTGTGGGGTTGAACCAATCTGATTGTCGAGGAATCAAGAATGGGAACCTGGGAAAGGGTGGATCTTTCTGCAAGCAAGTGGCGGAAGAGGTCGAGAGCGCCCCAATCCTTGCCATCGAAGGCGGAGGGATGGGAGCCCGACGCGATCACCTTCTCGAAGGTCAATCGGACGGCTCCCAGTGGATTGGCCAGGCAATCGTACTCTGGACCCCCCATCTCTACGACCCAATCCCAATCTGTGGTAGCTGGCTTCTCTACTCTAGCCTGAGATCGGCCACTACCTACCTGCACCAGCCACCAGGTAGCAGCTTCCCGCGCTAAAAGGGTGATTTTCCCGCCAAATCGAATGACACTATTTTGAGCCCTAGAGCCAGACAGAAAGTGAATTTTGTTGTGGGCCTTGTTGCCCAAAGTTGA